AAAGTTGTTCTTAATGCAGTTAAATATATCCCTGGGTATATTCTTAAAATAACAAGTCAAAATATTTTCCTTATATGTGAAATATTGATTATATTTGTATGAGTAAACATAACAATATTTACAGTGAAGGAAAACAATTTGAGGAATGATAAAAGAAAACATAGTAAATACGAGTTATTTTCATAACTAAAAAGGAAATTATTACATGTCTAAAAAGCTATGTACACTTGAAAAATTAGATGTCATAACAACATGACACCAAATATTTCCTAAAGGTCTTTCACAGATTATTACCTTTATCTGTTTACATATATATAATATACAATTATAATATATTACACATTGTAATATGATATATATTACATATGAATCAAATGAAACCATCAAGACTCAAATTTAAAACATATCCCTTAAGGCAAATGGCATTACTAGACATGTAATGAAGAAGACAGGCATTTCTTCACTTATTTTGAAGTTGAACTATAGCTAACACATCAGTACAGTGGATGAAAACCTTAATTCCTAAGACCTAATGATTTGATTTTGGAAGTTCTTGGCTGACTTTATGTCTGTTATAAACATTACGTGGATAAACATTCTTCCTCAATGACTAAAACTGACTTCAATACATGACATAATGTTGCTGAAGATTGGATTACATATGCTAATTATTTAAGCTGTCTCAACATACATATTCCAATTGTCTCTGAGGCCGGTAAGCTAAGCATGACTAGAGTGGCATGTAACACTAATAACGGACAGATCTAGTTTTAATCAGTACGAAACAGAAGTCAGCAAGCTCTAGGGCTTGAGGCTAGGTCACTGTGACAGACTACCTGTACCAATAAGTTCAGAATCATTGCTAAATATGTAACCTGCTGCAGTGCCTCCAGCAAAAAAGGATGAAAATCGAAACCAGACAGCAGGTCAAGAATAGCTACTTCTACTATCACGAAGCCAAAATGAAGAGATGGGCCACAGGTATCTATCTATCTGGCACTGCTTCCTACATGGTAAGTGATGGGTGGTAGGCTTGAACTTCCCATACCACCTCTGCTGTCAAATGTGCCACCAGAAAACCAAAGAAACTTAAGGATCAGTAATGCTACCATCTCCTGCCTACAGTGAATGGGTCAATATATTATCATCAACAAAAAGGAAGTCAACAGGAACAATAAATTGGATGGTGTAGAGCTAGAAGTATCAAAAGTGCTCTTTGGTGATTGAACAAAGTCATGTCTCCAGCTGTGATTTATCTTACCCCCCACCCCTTTTATTGCATGTGCTATGTATGTCTAATATTTATTTCAGCATCTGAATGCTTCTTTTGTCCTCATCCTATTACAAATTCTAGAGATGCTGTGATGTTAAGAACTGATGTGCAATTAAAAAAAAAAGTTTAGTCTAAAGTGAGACTGAAAAATACAGGTTGCATTGGGTATCCAAAAATGTTAAAAGAAGAGAAGGTCAGTCATCTTCATGGAATTATAAAATGGAGTCCTGAGAGTTCACACAACGACCTTGAATCAATACTGATACTGTAATCAGCCATGTTCAAATAATACCAAATGCATCTACAAGAAAGAACACAAGCTCTGCCAACAATTTCAGACTGGCTACTTACTACAAGCACTAACCTTTCTGAGCCTTTGTTTCCAAGACTGTGAAATGAAATATCTACCCCCAAGATTTTCTAATGATGAGTAAATAACTCATTGTTATTTACCTACTGTCATTAATTCATTCATGAAAGTGATTTTTGTCTATACTCCCACTATAAGCCAGAAACCAACCAGGTCACAAAACAGACAGACAAAAATCTCCCCTTATCTTCTCTGGTTTGCTTACTTGACCTTGTCCCAGGTATCACATTAGTGGTGAATAAAAAAGCCCCAAAATGTGATGAAAATAACCAATCTGATTTTTAAAGATCAAATAAGGGCAATCACAGTGTGTGAATTTAGGGAAACAAAAAACTTCCACAGGAAAAAATCACATTATGATGTCTGAGAGTGGAAAGGAGAAGAAAGGCTTCCTAGAAAAGAGTATTTTAAGTGAACCTTGAGGGACTCTTAGACTCCTGATAGGCGGGAGCTCTAGACTTTGAAAAAGCAATGCTTTGAAAGGAGGGCGCTGGAAAGGCTTTGGTAACTCTGAGACATTCCCTACAGCTGTAGATGGATAGGGAGTAATGGGCCATGAAAACCAATACATACATGTGAACCAGAGTGAAGCTGTATGTGTTGGGATGACTTATGCTTAGTTTGGAAGAAATGGGAAACCATGAGAGATGTTTGAAAAGAGTGTAATATGGTACAAAAATTTAAATTTTTCTCACAAGAAGTGTGATAGAGACAGAGACGCTGGAATGGGACGAAAGAAAGGGACTCTCCCAGGAAAATGGGGTAATGAGCCTCAGATTAGTTTTCTAATGATGACCAACGGAAGGGAACACTTCCCATGGCATCTCTCAGGGCTCCTTTGTGAGGACAACAGCACACGTCTGGCAAGAACGGTACCTCAACTCTTTTTGAGCCATATCCCTGAGTGGCCCTATGAGTTCTGCACTGCTGTTCACCTGTCCTCTGCCTGTTACCATTACTGTATCCTTAAAATGCCAACATCTCACTCACACATCCCTGTCCTCAGCTCATTCATATTGACCACGACCAAATGACGTGTCCAACCGGGCATCGGGACTACCATAATACCTCACAGCCTAGTCAGGCGAAACAAGTATCTTTTTAGTTATCAGCAGCATGATCTCAGCCCTCCTAGCCTTTTGAACATAACAAGTGAATCTCTGTGTTTTTCTTTAGACAAACTATCCAGCTTATACTAATTTGCTATAGCAACCTAAAAGACTAAGACAGAGGTAGATTTAAAACTCTACAAAAATGATCTCAATGAAAAGTAGACACAGGGCTAGAGAATTAACTCAGAGGTTAACACTGTTTGTTGCTCATGCAGAGGACCGAGGTTCAAATCCCAGGGCACCCATGATGGCTCACTACTGTAAGTCCAGTCCCAGAGTATATGAGGGCCTCTTTTGGTCCCAGACAAGCACATGGTACACATACATATATGCAGGTAAAACACTCATTCACATGAAATAATAAAATAAATAAATCTGAAGAAGTGGACATAAACAGACAGTGCATAAAGAAAAGACAAAAATTGGAATATTTGAGGATAGTTTCAAATAATCTCAGCATAGAAATGAATCCCCATGTCTGCACACTGGGGAAAACAAGTTAAAACAAGTGATGTGGAAGGAAAAATGGTTGCAAAATAATATCTTATGCCACACCAAATTCAGTAGATTCTGTGTGACAAGTTCCACAGACTGAGGCAATAACTTCAAAAGAAGGAGGTCTCCTGGAAATGGTTGTATCTATTAACCATGTGTGGTGATCGTGCCCAGCACACAGTTCCCGAGGCAGGAAACTCTCCTTGCTTAGTGATGACCTGTTTCGTGTGTCCTCACTGATGCATTTTTCAGGGTCCCCCAATGATGTTGCTTGTGGTATTAATAAAAGAAGAAGTCATGGGGGACAGATATCCACCAAACAGTAAGTCAAACGTGGAATGACGACTTTAATATATGAACATCGTTTTAAATTCTTTAAAACTTGATACTAAAATCCTTGGCTATCCAATAGAAGAGTCATCAATCCCATAATAAGGTATAGCCAAATCCTAAGCATTTTCCCTCCATTTACTGAAAATAAGTAACAATTTGTCAGTTATGTAGTCACTAAGGATGAGAGGCATTCAGCTCTTGTTACAGGAAGGATGAACATTCCCCACATCCTGTTTCAGATTGGGGAACTTGCATTTGTCCCCACACACAACAGATGTTAGATTAAATAAACTGATGGTTGATGAGTTCTTTTCTACAATAACTTCTTTCAGAAGTTTGATCTCATTCTGATTACACACAAGCTAAAAGTTAGAGGGCTATTATAAGGTACATCTAAATGAGAATAAAAATCTGTAAGAATCCCTTATTATCTTTGGGGGTGGATTGCAGTTGGGGCGTTTGCAGGACACTGAACTAACCATTCTGCTACAAAGCTCATGTGTCTCATTTTTGCTCTTAAGAATATAAGCGTGCCTGTCTTGTTTTCTTTGATACATTTCTCACAGAAGCACGGCCTACCACTGTAAATGTGGCTACACTAACACTGGTCAGAAGGAGCCCCTATATTCCTTGGAGCATCTTTCAAGGTTGACTGGACTTACAGGTTTGCCCTGAACCATGGAATTGTCTTCTTCCATTTGAACAGCGGCAACAGCTGTCTTGAAACGAAGCCAGGAGGAATTTTAGTAGTCCTATCATAAATACCTGAAAGAGCGCACTTAGAATATATTCCTTCTAAAGGCACACGGTCCCAAATCAGACTTCTCATTTCTCAGGTTGGAGGAATGCACTGACTAGCCCACATCTTTTTATTTCACGTGGTAAATAAAGCAAGTTTTATGATGTCAGATGAAGCGTGCCCCCAAAGAACAACGAAGTTCTCCAAAGTTGGAATATGCAGAAAAGAATGCGGACATCTTCTTGTTTAATTATTTTTAGCATTCCGTTCAAAACAGTTTCACAAGTTCCAACAAAAACACACAAATACCTTTTCCTCCCTAGGGATCAACCCGCGGTTTACTCTCTGGGAGAAAGTACCAACATTTTCATTACCAGGGGGAGGGGAGCAGACAGTTCAAGCTGCTTTGAACTATTGGATTTCGAAACGGAATGACAAGCGTGTGCACGTCTGTGTGAAGGCGCAAGCGTGTACACAGCCCATCTTTTTACAAAAGACCAGTTTTCAAAGAAGGTACTGTCCTGTAGAAGTCAAAGAAGTGAAATGGTGTGATCGCTTCTCCATTTTCAAGTCTTCTCCCGGACCAGAAGTGGCAGAAAAGCTGTCACTAGCTCAAAGCACAGTAGGACTGAGAGTGAGCAGAGGCCGGGCGGGGGCGGCTAGCCGTGCCTCTCTTACCTGTCCCTCCCTGGGCGCTCATCACAGCATGGTCACAACGGATCCCAAGGTGCCAGAAGAGAACCGAGCAGGAATCCAAAGGGCGGGGCGAGTTATGCTTCCAAGCCAGACATTTGTCTTTGAGAAGCAGAACAAAACCGACTTCTCAGTTCTCCAGCTCCGCGTGCTGAGCGCCGGTGCCTGAAGCCGGCGGAGCAGGCGACTGTCCCTCCTCCAGGCCTCCGGGGCTCCAGGCGGGCAGAGCTTCCGTCAATCTCCCGTGGTTCCGCCCCCGTGACGTAAGGGGCGGGACCTGGCCAGTTGCGGAGCTCTTGCCTCCCGCGGTTGGACCCACAGAGGCCCCACCCTGCCCAGATGTCCCAGTGACCCAAGGTTTGTCCTTTCCCATTCTGATAGTCACCCACTCAGCAGTTTGCGGACCTTCCTGACCTTCCATTACTGTGATTTTGTTGAACAATGTGCTCATTTACCGAGGCTTGAAACACCTAGTGGTTATGTTTTGGAGAGTAAAGATACTAAATCTTAAAGTGGAATGTTAAAGTTGTGTGACTAGTAATTATTTTACTAAAAAAACCAAAAAACTACAGTTCTAATTTGGGCTTCTTTCTCTTTCCTTTAGACTCCTTTACTCAAAATAACGTGACTTTATCCACGTATCTGCCAGGGTCTGTTTGCTTTAAGCTCAAGGCATTCTTCCTTTTTTCCTATGCTTTTCTTTTCGTTTCTTAGATTTTTTTCTCTAATTTTTTCTTATATTTTTATTCTCCAAATTTAAAAAAGAAAAAGAACCCACCTGTCTAGTGTCCAAAATCTTGCCCAACTGCTTCAAGAAGGCAAGAGGGTATGTCGACCAAGCTCCTTGCCAGGTCCGACACCCAGAAGAAATAGTAGGAAGACACAAACTGGACAGGATTCAAAAAGTTAGAGTGGGCTGAGCGGGGAGGCGAGAGTGAAAAGTGTTTGGGAGGACTAGGGGAAGGGAGGAGACAAAATCAAAATACACAATATGAAATTCTCAAAGAATTTTTTTAATTACTTAAGAATAAAAAAGAAAAACAACTCAAAATAAAACCCAAAACTCAGCTGCAGGTTACTCCACTGAAACAATGTAGAAGCATATTAGAACTCCTAAGCTGTTCCTTTTCCTGACTGGGTTCGAACTCTAGTGCCTCTCAAATGCGAGAAGTAATTGATTATGCTAATACCTCTTAGTCGTGTGCTCACCAGGACAAAGCCATCCCAAACCAAGAGATGCCAAACGAGTTTTTTGCACCCTCCCGGGAGGTGCCAAACTAAAAAGAAGGTCAGGGTGTGGTTTCCTGTGGAGCCTCCTTCGGCAGGCAAGGGCAAATCTCCAGAGTTAGTCAGCTCTTGGCCTCTGAAAACTCCTGGCCCCACTAAGACTTTTGCAGGCATATCACTAGTTCTGACAGGATGGTTGAATAGCAGTATGTTCTGTTTAAATTCCAGTTAGTTGTCTGCTTCGCCTCCCTGCCTCGGGGCAGGGATGGAGCTGAGAGGCTTTTTTGGGAAGGTGCATACCAGGACAGTTCAGGCATGCTGCTGGCATTTGCAGTCTGTTGGGAAATGCTTGAGTGTGGTTCTAACTAGCGATACACCAGAGTAGATGAGAGAGTTGGATGCCAAGGCCCCACCCAGGTCAACTGGACCAGAATCTCTAGAGGTGAGGCTCTTGCAATTCTTTGAGTCCGACCTCTCACCATTCTATGCACCTCAAAGACTGAGAATCACTCCTATGATGTGAACTGTCTCAGAGGAAAATCCACATTACATTCCTAACTTCAAAGATGCTGTTGCTGAGTAATGGGATGATGTGATATAACTTAGCCCTGTACATTCTTTGTATGTTTGTACATTTCAATGTAAGCGTGGGAAATATACTGCAAAATCCACGTCAGAACTGCTCACTCGCAGAAAGAGAGCAGTGACTAGATCACTAGCTTTCCAGTTGTGTCTGTGTCATGTGACCAAACAGAAGTAATTGGTTTCCCTTCTGTGGTTTAAATATATCCAAAAATATAAAATTAATACCTACAGATAAAGGCTGTTGGAAATGGCCACTGTTAGTTTTGGATTTTCAGTTGTTTGGTAGGTTTTATTGTGTTTCATGATTTGGATTAGATTTGATTAGGGGTTTGATTTGCTATTATTATTATTTCTTAAATGTTTTCCTGAACACTTGTATCTTTTCACCTAATGATTTCTATTTTTTTTAAAGTGTAAGATTCTTATTAGCTATTTAAACATGCTAACCAATAATACAGTTATTACTGAAATAATGTCTACTTTCTTATGGTTTCAATATGTTCCATTTTTAGTGTGCTTTTCGTGAAGACTTGAAAGACTAGTGTTCATGGCAGATAACACAGATTAAAGAACATTCTGTCTTTCCTGGTTGGAAATTATTTAAACTCTCAATATTAGTAGCTTGATAATAAATTGCTGATGGGAAATGCACGGCAAGAGAGTTTGTTATCTATGTCTCACTTGAATCTAAATCTTCATTATGAAGACTCTTCACTACATGTGCCCTAAGCACCATCAGTAAACGAATCTAGTGTTTTATGATCTTATGAAGTCAGGTAGCCAAAGTGCTTGTCACTAAGTCAAGACATAACAGCTGCTTTAAAAATAACAGCTACCAATTCACTGGTGCTATTTTCTCCCATTTCCCTGGACAAGCTAAAGAATTAATACAGCATCGGTAAACTAAGAATTATCAGTAAACAGTCTTATAAAATTATAAACGTGTTTCCCATGTTTAACAAGATACTCCTTGTCCATGTGTTCATGAAAAAGAAGTAGTTTTTTCCCTATCACTTTAAGATAAGCATATCCTTATTTCTTCAAAGTTACACAGACTAAAGTAGTAGAAGGAAGGACTGATTTTACATATTCATGATGAGGCACTTTTTGTCCTCTGTGCTTGTCCAGAGGGCATGACTCATGCATAGATTGCAGCAATTCCCAATTCCAGGTCTAAGTAACTTTCATAAGTGGGAGAGGAAGAGCTATGCTTTTAATAACCCATGAATAAGGCGTATTTATTAAATATGTCGTGTTATATTTCCTAATTATATTTAGAAAGCCATCGCAGGATTTTTCCTTCTACATATTTCACCTTTGCTGTTTTCTGAGAGCTCACGGACTGCTATCTTGTGTTTCCAGGAGTCTGTGCCTCATTTAGTACTCATTGCAGTCCTGTGACGTCATTCTTCACTCAGAGATAAGTGATCCGAGGCAGAAGCAGCCGCCAAGTACCCAAGTCTCAACAGTGAGCAGGAGCCATAGAATCACGACTTTCTCACGTTTTCAGAGTGTAGATGTAGAACTCTCAGAGCTGACCGGAATCATTTTAGGAGTCCAGCAGAGCATCACCACTGTGCAGAACCCAAAGATGGAGAATGGGGCCTTTCGAGACTGCATCAGAGCTAAGCGATGCCATTAAAACTATTTTAAGATAGTACTTCATTCCAGTCAGAATGGCTATCATCAAAAAGTCTGAATGGGGGGGGCGCTGGAGAGACCCAATTAAGAGCACTGACTGCTCTTCCAGAGGACCTGGGTTCAATTCCCAACAGCCACATGCAACTAACAGCTGTCTGCAACTCCAAGATCTGACACTTTCACATAGACATACATGCAGGCAAAACACTAATGCACATAAAATAAAAAAAGAAATCTGAACACAAACGTAGAAGAGGATATGAGGAGAAAGGATGTTGGTGGAGGGCACGAATTAATACAGCCATTGTGGAAATCAGTTTGGAAATGTCTCAAAAATTTTAAACTAGAACTAGCATATGTCTCAGCTGTTTCTCTCCTGAATATATATCCAGAGAATCTTATACCCTATTACAGAAATATTTTCACACACCCATGTAAATTGCTGCATTATTCATTAGGACAAAGAATTGAAATCAACATAGTTGCCCATCAACAGGTGAATGAATAATGAAAATTGCCCATGTGCACTGGCATGAGTGTGTGTGTGTGTGTGTGTGTGTGTGTGTGTGTCTGTCTGTCTGTGTGTGTCTGCGTGTGTGTGAAAACTACTCAGCTCTGAAGAAAAAGTGGAATAACAAATTTTTCTGGAAAATGTATGGATCTAGAAAGTATAATATTATGCAAGAGTACATAAGAAAAAATGTGTGTTCTTGCTCATATGTTGTATCTAGCCAATAATATATGCATGCATGCCACCAAAGTGTATGTAAGCATAGCATAACATGTAGAAAAAATAACAAGACTAGACAGGCTAAATATAAGAGGAGTAAATGCAGGTAATAACAATGAATTATGAGAGAGGATATAAAGATAATTATAGTTCTAACTCTGTCATAAATTTTTCACTTTTATGGTAGATAAGTGCATAAAAACATATTTGACAGCTAAAGTATAAAATTCAATACGAATATTCACAGCTTTCCATCTGAATGGCTATTCTATCTGTACCAGTATAGAAGTTCATTGAGCCATATAGTTTTCAGGTCTGGCTAAGTTTGGTGTGTGATTTCTTTTCATGTGCAACATTTGAATAATAAAATTTAATAATTAAAAAATAAAGCTTCAGAAGAGACAGAATTATCCACACATTTTCCCTGTACATGTTATTGGTCATGTGGTATTCCACCACGACTCACCATTTGCCGATCCCTTTTCAATTTCCTTTTACCTTAGGCTGCTTTTAAATTCTGCTGTCAACAGGGAAGGAAGAGATTGGACTTTATGCCAACTCACCTTCCACATTGCTCTTTGTTTCTGGATAAAATCTGGTGCCATAAAACTGACTCTGCGCTGGTCCTTGATTGGTATCAATAACAGATAAAAGAGCTAACTGATGTTTCAACTCCAAAGTTCCAGATAAGCCAATCAACTCATATGCAACCTTATGCAATCTCTTATGTTATCAAGAAGCACACAGTCAGCCGGACTAGAGTAGAATCCCTTATGTGGAACATGATCCTTTAGACTAGTAAAAAAATAAAATAGTCAATCACTCTCTTTCCCAAAGATGTTTTGGTTAAGAGCAGGTGCAACTGAGATCAAAAGACACACATGTCTCTAGATTGTGTGTGTTTTCTGCTGACCAGAGAGACAGGATTTGGGAGACAGGAAAGGTCTACCTTGAGAGTAAACAGGATCCAGCCTC